TTACTGCATACTCTTCGATTTTTTGGTGTAAGTGTAGAGGTTTGAAATTTGAACTTCTAACTTCTATCTAGGCTTGCACCTTATCTTTAATTGGCGTTCAACTTACCTAAGGAGAGTTGAATGATTTCAATGCCAATTGGAAGTCAAAATTTTAGTCCCTGTTTGATAACCCAATTCAACTCTTAAATTTAATATATTCAGATCTTAACATATTCAAACCGTTTGATAACCAAAAATTAAAAATCTGAATTAATTAAGTGGCACTAAATTTACGAGGCAAAACTCGCTTCCAAAATTAAGTGATAAGTTATTCACTTATCACTAAATGTGACATGCACTCAAGTGTATTAGATTTAATATTTAATAATTTAATAAATTCACAATTCAGATTTAAGATTTCAATTTTTAAATTTCAGTTTTATCAAATGCGCGCTTAGTCTAATGATCCTCTAACTTCATTGTTCTAATGATCCTCTGACTTCACTGTCTAAATTTTTACTCGTGTGAGTGATGAACATCACATCCAAATTTCTACTGCAAGTTTTATATTTCGTACTGCGTCCTACATGTGTATGGTTTAATCTTGTCCATACATAATTGGTTGGTTATGTTCATCATGATATGGATTGTAGTATAGCACATTGTCTAGAAAATTGAGGATTGAGAGTGTAAAAATTGAAATGCGTGATAGTATAATTTTAAGCTTTGTCATGGAATTAAACCTCTGCAATGGGGCCGATATTACACCATTAAATGCAATTGAAACGAATTAATCTAGAAAAACTTAGGTCCTACTTGGATTGCTATTTATAGAAATTTTTATAAAAAAATTGTATTGTTATAATTTGATGTATGTGAAGTAAAACGATGATTGAGAAATATGCTTAGGAAAACGTAAAAAATTTTCATAGAAAATTACAATCCAAAAACTATTCTCTCACCACATGAGATTTTGAGTGCGATCACCAAAAAATTGAAACGAGTTTGTAGTGCTTATGGTTTAGATAACTTTCAAGTAATCTTACGCAATTGATTATGTATGTTTTATTATGAAAATTAAAAGAGTATTATATTTCTATTATAAATTTTTTGAATAAAAATAACAATTTCATTATATGTGCACTAGAAAATACATCAATATCTCTATTATAAAGTTGGACAATTGTAGTGAATTATAATAACTTTAAACCCTAAGGAGCAATTGAAGTGCTAGTGTAGAGTGATGTTTTGTTTTGTTGGCAAGGCTTCACGTAGACACACACTAACATACACGCACCAAACAAACTTTAATTTCAAGTGTCAAAGCCAAAAAAAAAAAAAAAGGGTAAATAAATACTTCCACGAAATTCCAAGCGTGGCGGTGAAGTCACGACGGCAATATCTTGGGCCACTCTAGCCTCAGCTTTTCGTTGAAAAATGTGTCCCACCACAATTCTATTTCTAACTTCTAAGCCCCCTCTTTTCCGCCAGGAGTTCTCTAAGCTGGCTCCCCAGGGTGCCGTCACAATCATTCGACGGTGCCGTTTTTTCATCTTTGATTCTGTAATCTTTCCGTTGAATTTGGAAATTCGTTCTCTCTTTCGTGCCGTTGCCACTGAATAAACGAAAAAATATAGGGATAATTTCAGAAACCTACCCTGGGGTTTCTGACTATTTCACTTAGTTTCCTTAAAGTTTTAAAACATTATACTTATCTCTCTTAATTTGACACTTTGGTAACCAAATCTTAAAATAAGGTCAAAAATTTAATGAATATCCTAAAATACCCTTATCTTATAAAGTTTAATTTATTTTTCTAAACAATTATAAAGTAATTTGACACAATTATTTAAAAAAAAGGAGTCTCTAGTTTTTCATGTTAATATTTGTTATTTAATAATCAATTATAACAATAAATCATTTGCCATGATAGGTTATTTTTTATAGTGTTTTATTGAAAATATAGATTCTTTATAAGATAGAGAAGAAAGTTATCTTGTGTTTTTTAAGTTTATGGACTATTTTTTAAAATAAAAGTTTATGAACTAGTTTAGTGATGGAACTACCACAGTTTGTAATGATTTTGAGTAATTTGTTTTAAATTATTGTTGATTTATTCTTGATTTTGATACAAAAAAAAGAGTTACAAAAAAATTGGATGATATTAAAAGTCATGCAAAAATTCCTAATTTAATGTTTGATCTGGATAGATATTAGTGACAACATTAATAGTTTTTCTACACTTCTAATGAAATATAAGAGAAATTAATAAGAAGGAAAAAGAAAAAAATTATAAAACCCATCTTTTGTATAAACATGGCAATAAGTAAATTTTATTAAAAATATTAAGGTTACTATTGTCGTTTTAAATCGGTAAGGGAGGTAGGTGTAATTTTTGAAACCTTAAAGGAGCTACATGAAATTATTAAAACCTTAGGGGAGGTTTCTGAAATTATCCCAAAATATATTAGCTATCGCCACTACTCAAAATACAGAAGGCGAAATTTGCATGGCCGATTTGACAAATTTTCCCAATCAATAACGGTGTTCAGATTCAGGCACGTTAGAATATGAGCTATTCAATCAATCCAACTCAATCTATCTGAGTCACGTAACGAAAACAATTCCATAAAGGGTCTGTCTGACATTGGACGCCCGTTAAGATTTACTTCAATTATTAAATTTTTGAAAAGGTATGACTAATCAGGAAGAAAGTATAAATACAAAAGAGAATAATAATTATTATTGGGGAAAATGACCTGTTTCACCCTTCACATTTCGCAAAAATATTCTTTTCATCCCTCACTTTTATAATGAAGCAAATTCGTCATTGGCATTTAAAAATTAAAGCTATTACATCCCTTAACCTAATTTTCAATCTGAATCAAACCATTCAATAACCCAGTAATAAATTTCAGAAATAGAATTGATAGATCACTCGGTCAATTTCATCATATTTACATGACATTTATTAAACCAAAAAAATAAAAATTATAACATAAAAGGCCATTCTTTGTCTTGGAATAGTAGAGTTTTTTTTTTTGGTAAATCTTTTCATGCACCGATAGTATATCCGCTTGCAAATCTAGATGTGTATCATAAATATAAATTTTGGTGTTTAAATTTAAATTGAAATGATATGGGGGTACATAAAACTATCAGTGTATACAATGATGATGTATGAAAGATTAATCTTTCTTTTTTATGTTATAATTTTTTATTTTTTCTTTTTGGGTTCATTAAATTTTACATAAATATCAAGTTGAGATAATCAAGTAATCTACCAATTACAGCCCCAAAATTTGTAATCAGGTTAATTGGTGGTTTGATTTAGATTGAAATTTGGGTTCAAGGATGTAAGAACTTCAGTTTTTAAATGTGAAGGACGAAATTGCTTCGTTTTAAAAGTGAGGGACGAAAAGAATATTTTTGTAAAATGTGAAGGATGAAACCGATCATTTTCCCTTATTATTGTGTATACATTCATGATAGATCGAATAGAATTTAAATGTGTTAAGGAGTGTCGGTTGGACACGAATTAAAAAAAACTCTTGCATTAATTAATTAATTTCAAAAGCCAAGTTTATTGTCCTTGAGCACTTTATTTGAACCATTTCCTTCGTAGTAGAAGTTCTATTACTTATTCGAGCATGTTATTCAGATTTTCATTTATTTGAATGTGCAATGAATCAAGTATTATTCAAATTTTCATATAAAAAAAAGTATTATTCAAATTTATTTTCTTCAACTTATAATTTACCTGTTTTTCAACACTAGTTTTCGTTTGATAATATGCACTGTTTTCAACACTAGTTTGAATATGCACTGAATCAAGTATTACTAAAAATTATTTTTTAACTTATAATTTATGTGTTTTTTAACACTAGTTTTCGTTTGATAATAATAAATTTTTATAAATATGTGTAAGTTTTCTCTTCCTATTCCTATCAATAAAACGTGAAACTTATCAAAAAAATCAATTAAAAAATAACAACAATAACTTCTAAGTAATCACACGTTCTTAAGATTTAAATTTTTTTTTTCTAATCGTCACAACCTCGAATCATCCTTTTAAAGGTAGAATTCTTTTAGGATAAAATACAGTAAACTCCCTTGTAGTTTTGCTGAAAGACAATTAGACATCTTATGATTTCAAAATATTCACATAAATTCTTTGTGGTTCAGACCAAAGTGGAATAGTATTTTTGTTTGGATACCCTATTTTTTTAACTAATATTTTGTTTGTATCATAAACACATTTTTCAATCCACTTTTTTATATTACCAATCATTTTTTTATCTCAAATACATTACATTACAAAAAGTGTTACTATTTTTTGACCTATTGTGATATCGATACCCATCGTTTGTTACTTTTTCTTCCTTTAAAAAAAAAAAAAAAAATTTCTGGTCACAGGGAGGAGGGGGAGAGAAGGGGAGGGGAGGAAAAAGGGAAGAGGAGCGAGGGAGATTTTTGGAAAGGGTGGGTGGGAAGGAAAAGGAAGGAGTGGTAACCGATAATAGTGGTAAGTGACGGTGGTGGTGATATGTGAAGAAAGGAAGATGGATAATTTAACAAAATTTTAAAATTGTCTCAAAAGTTCTAAAATTTGCAAAAATGCTCATTATAGTTAAGTCAAAAGTTTTAAAATTTGTAAAAGCATTCACAATAGTTAAATTAAAGGAATTTGAGCACAAAAAAAAAAGGAAAAATATTTAAAAAATAATAATATACTACATCACTTGCACCTTCCACGTCAGCTTAAAGTACAAGAGAGTTACGTGGACATTTCGAATTGTCATGTGAAACCACAACAGAGTTTATTGTAATTTTACCCTATATTACATCTTTCCGTGGGGTGTGATTTTCTTATTCTTGTTGCTCACTTAGCTAATGCCTAATAGTAGTAGGTGGTTTGAGTCCGGGTACAATGGCAACAATGTCCTTGAACAAAACCACCCACTGACAGTTTATGCCCGTATTATTCACATATTTTTACAATTTCCCACATTAATGTTGTATATAACTCTATTCACGTCGATTGACCACTATCAAACTGAACTTTACTTTCTCCCTCTGTCAAACTGATTGCCTCCCTTCATCCGCCAGTCATCTTCTCCAACCGCCCAATCCCCCAGCCCACAAAACCACCCACTGAAACACACATAACTTGCACACAATTGCATTCTTTCTATAACCCTTCACGCGTTTTTAATTTCTCACCCCTCCTCCCCCTCTATTAATTATAAACAGTTACGACCATTCAAAAAAAAAAGAATTGGTTAAATCTTTGCAAGAATATCCAAAAGAAACTGACTTTCTCTAACAAAATTAAAAACCCAGAAGTAGTTCTGGGTTTTTTTCCTTCAATAATTTGTCGGTTTTAAATTGGGTGTGGTGATGATGCATGGAATGGAGAATGGGGGGGCAGGCTGTGGGTTTGTGGTGGTGCCGGTTTTGGGTTGGAGAAAAGCAGGGGAAGAAAAGGAGGAGGACGCAAATGGGGATTATGTGAAATTGAAAGATGATGATGTGGAGGAAGGTTATGGTAGGGTAGCAGATATCGGAGAAGCGGTGGGGCCTGCATCATCATCATCATCTTCTTCTTCCTCCTCTCCTTCTTCTCGTTGCAGCAGATGCTGGTATTCTATTTGGTGGTGGGCTAAATTGATTCTTTTGGTGGGATTTGTATCAGTCTTGGCAGCTGTTTTCTTCAAATGGATTGGACCATTCTTTATGGACAAGGTTAAATAAAATTCCAGCTTGTTTTTTTTAAAATGTTTCTTTGAAGAAGAAAGATTAAAAGCATGCAACTTTATGGTTGGTGCAATTCAATAGATACAAGTGAATGTGTGTGTTTATGGGTATATATGTTGTCGTTGGTATGTCCTTGCACGCGGGCTTGATGCTGTTGAAGGGTTTTGATAATGACATTTATATTGATGTGCTGGTGTTTGATTGTCATATTTACTGGTTAAGTTCTTCTTTTGTATTAATTTCTCAAATTAGCAAGTTGTTAGAATTCAATCCTGATTGTTAAATTGAAACAGTGTTGAAAATTGTCTTCGTAGGCCAATTTGGACGTCTTTCATTGAACGATCTTTATATTAGCAGAGCAACAGCATAACATTGTCTACCCTTTTAGTATACAATTAATATATTACAGATATATATTTATCGATAATCCCCAGATACTAGTAGCATGAATTAGTTGTTTGTAGCTTTATTAACTTGTGGTGAAATTGTGATAGATATAGGTTTACTGGCTTGTAGAGATAAGAACATCAGCCCTTTGACATCTGGTATTTAATTGCTGTTATACTTTTACTGGCTTTTAGATATAAGTACGTCAATCCTTTGACATCTAGGTATTTATTTGCTCTTAGTACTTGATACATGTCAAATGAAAGTTTAGGAAGATAATTCCTGATAATAACTGGTGGTTTAATATTGAGACTGTGAATGCATACTTGTTATCTTCATCAGCTTTGTTAATCTGCATCTTGCTGTTCAAGCAATAATTGATGTTCGTGTTATAGCAATGGGCAGTGAGAAAGCTGGATGTTGAATTCCAATGTACACCATTGAGCAATAGTAATTTCTAACTTATAAGTTGCCTTTTCCAGGAGATCATCCCTGCTATAAATTGGGAAACTAAAACATTTAGTAGACCAGTTTTGGCACTTTTGGTTTTTGGTTCTGTGGCATTATTCCCAACCCTGCTTCTTCCATCTTCACCATCCATGTGGGTGGCAGGAATGACCTTTGGATATGGTTATGGGTTTTTGCTTATCATTGGTGCCGTGATCATTGGTGTTTCACTTCCATATTTCATAGGGTCTCTTTTCCACCATAAAATTCAGGTCTGTATCCTTTTATGAAGGATATTCTCCATTGCTTCGCTCTTCCATCTCTCTTATTTCAATTTTATCCACATTAGTGATTTTATTGCTTTGCTGTGTAATGAAGGGATTGCTGGAACGATATCCTAAAAGAGCTTCATTAATAAGACTAGCTGGTGAAGGGAATTGTTTTAACCAGTTCCGAGCTGTTGCCTTGATCAGGATTTCTCCTTTTCCATACATTATTTATAACTACTGTGCTGTGGCAACTGATGTTAAATATGTCCCTTACCTGTTGGGATCACTTGTTGGCATGGTACCAGAAACATTTCTTACACTTTACACGTAAGAATATTCTTTCTCCCTTTGCTCCTTGTTGTTTTACTGTATAATGTTTATTGGCTGGGCCTAGTTTGCTCTTGTAAGTGTGATGCATTTCTTGTCCAACACCAATGTACCCATGTAACTGCTTAGTGTACTTCTGACCTCATTTTACTTCTTTCTATAGTTGGTTAATGCCAATACTTAGATGTGCAACTGTATATGTTTGACCGTATCTACTATCTTTTTGACAAGCTCTGGGGTTGGTTCCTGATGTCTTCCGCTCTAAATGACAATGATTCTGCTAACTATTGGACAATAACATATATTTGGTAGCAGTCAGTAGCATATTTATTCATTACAAAATCATTGGATGACATTGTTGCTAGGGACTTGATGAATCTGTTTATTCTGGGTGGTTTGTTTCATGGTTGGTTCTAGTGTAATTCTCACTGATTTAGCTCATATCTTGATTGTAACAGAGGATAATGTAATTAGATAACTTCTGAAACAAAAAGCTCGTAACTTTGTATTGCCCTTTTTTGGGTCAAGTTTGTCAGAACCAAAACAAGGGCAATTCCCCTTCTCCAACTTGTAGTCACATAAAAGACAAGGTTTGAACTGGATCTAGGGGGCTTGGCGGCTTGGGCAATCAGGTAGAAGTAATATCTTTAAGACTAAGTGATGCTATAGTCCTATAGAACTCTTGAAACTGAGACACCTAAAAAAATTTGAACTGATGCTGGGTTGTTTCTGCTGTGACTGGGCAGTCAGGTAGAAGCAACATCTTTAAGACTAAGTGATGCAATAGTGCTATAGAAGCCTTGAGACTGAGACCCCTTAAAAAAATTTGAACTGATGCTGGGTTGTTTTTACTGTGAACGAAGTGCTTCTTTGATGGTCAATAGGGTGATTATGTCTTCATGTACAATCTATCTAAATCATGGTTTTGGCTACAGCAGCTATGCTCTTCATTGCTTTGGTATTTTAGTTGGATACCTTAACTGAAGAAGTTCATGAATTGATTGGCATTTGCTTTCATGTTATAATTGCTTTCTGTTCCTTCTGTCTCTTTGCTCTGGGCTTTAGCATCTTCTCGTTTGATGATTACTCATTGATCCCTTCCACATTTCTCATCCAGTGTAAAGCTTCAAGTTTTCAATTTTGTTGGCCCATTCCTTTATTCACCACTTCTCGACCTCTCCAGATTCTTTTCTGAATGTCTTAGCATATGACTATCCCCCCGGAATCCACAAGTGCAGACATTTGTGCTTTCGCATGGAAGAGTTTTGTTTGTACCGGTGCACTGTTCAACAAACCAGCCATCTAAAATTAAAGAACACAGTTGGACCAATTTTTATGGTGGCTAGGGTTGGGAAAAGTTGATTAAGTTGCAGTTTTCAAAATTAACCAAAATGTTGTATTATGAGGATAAAAGGCATTTAAAGTGATTTGGCTGTATGATGCTGGAAGGAAAGGGTTATTGCAGTTACCAGTCAGTAGATGCTAAGTAATGCTGCTTGTAAAGGCAATGGAAAGTTTTTAAGTCTAAGTGGCAGAAAAAGGTGCTTGTGAAAGAAGTAGCAGATAGGTTGAACGAACTTCTTAGAAAGGATAATAAAGTTTCAGTTTGTACAGTGTTCTAAAGTTAACTGTCTATGCAAAAGTAAAATCTCTTGGATGAAATAAAGCAAGCTTGGAGCTTGTGTTCATAAAAAGACTCCAGATTAATTTCAAGTTCTATGAAACTTTTGATTGTGTTTGCTTGGTATGCTGCTTCATCCCTTTACCTAGGTTTTTATTGAGGTAATTTTGTCTGTTATTTTTTTTGTTATGTGTTAATTTTGATTTACTTGAGTAATAGTATACTTTTTTGCAGAGGTATTTTGATAAAAACTTTAGCAGATGCTTCACATGATCGCCGTGCCTTGTCAGCTCCGCAGATAATTTTGAACCTTGTTGGTTTTTGTGCTACTGTGGCTACTACAGTAGTGGTAACAATCTATGCAAAAAGGAGGCTCAAAGAGTTGCAGAAGGAAGAAGAGCTTTTACTTCAGTGAGCCTGTGTTGTTTTCTTTCGGGACCAAAGAGTGAGATTGATTTGCATCCAGTTCAGGTTTGATTGGCATGTCTAGATGCAAATTGTTGCTGGATGGATTGTTATTGACTGATTACTCCATCCTTAATTTCGTGGTCAACTTTGTGGGGCTGTGTCCTGCATGGATTATTGGTGGATGATGGGGAATTGAGACAACCAGCTAACATGACTGATATTTATACCGAATTGTATAGTTGTCCCAAAATAAGGGAAAATCATAAATGAAGTTGATGTATGTAACATCATTGCCTCCAACCCCCAAATGGAAAAAACTAATCTCCCTCTCTCTCTCACGTTGCAACAGTCACTGTATATAATTAGAATGCCCCTTATGGTTGTAATAGAATTCAGGGTGTTATTTTGTTGGATTTGGAAGATAACAATTTTATTCGATTGTTTAGAGATATTATCAGTTGGACACCCGAGTTGCCTATATAAATTTGGTGAAGAATTTATTGTATCCTGGGGCAATTTAGGTAATCATTATATTGGGATTGCACTGAGTTTGCAGGTGCCAAGCTGCAAGGGCTGTCCGGAATTGTAATCCATTTCCAACACTATGAATTTAGCTTTCAGCTATATTACTTCTTGATCCTTTTTTTTTTTTTTTTCTCTCAAGTTAATCTTTTACGTCGCAGATGAAAGCCCTTACCCTCGAAGGAAGTCAGCCTAGTTATTCACCCTACCTTACCTCCTGTCCCTACTGGTCGAGTCTGAGTCTCTTTATCTTTTGCAAGATTTCAGCTTGTAGAGGATATGGAAATTGTGAATAACATTACTGCATTAGACTTTTTACTCGCGCTATGGATCTTTTATGTGCTTAGCGCATGTTGGAAAATCTGGCCTGCACTGGATGCGGAGAAGCATCGGGAAGCTGCTTTGGCAATTGGAAGAACCTTCTACTTGACAAAGAAGGGAGGGGGGAAAGATGCAGGAAGTTTTTCCTTAAATTCTTTCCTATATCTCTTTTGAAAATTGCCTCATGATAGCTTGCCTTATTTATTTGTCTTGGTCAATGTTAATGATGACTTGCTATCCCTATATGACTTGCTATCCTCTTTTATCGAGAATTAAGAAGGGAAGAAATGTCAAACTAGAGGCTATGTAAAAAACCCTTTTGGCTGGATCATCATGAATTCATTAGAAAGCAAAGAATATGAATGTCAGTCATGCCTTGATGATCTTCTTACCCAGTTTTCTTCCTCGCTTTTTCTTGGAATCCTTTTTGTGGTCCATCCGCTGTCTCAATCATGTTTACTGAGAAGGTGGAAGCTTTGAACCTTTCTTCTAATTGTGTAGTTTCACAGTTGCATTACAGATGGATGCAAGTTAAGTATTGAACATTGGTATTAGCGACTAAATGGTATTGGGTTTAAGTCTCCCCTTCTCACTCCCTGCTTGCCAAATTCCACTCCTCCCTGCTAATTTTTTTTTCCAAAAAAAAAAAAAGAAAAAAAAAACCTAAATGGGTACTTATTTGGAGCCCTTGATCAGTTAATTCAAAGTTGTAGTATACAGCCAAGACTAAGTGTAGGATGCTGAGGTTTGTTTTGCTGCAAGAAGAGACCGTTTTTTGTATATCAAAAAGCTTTTACATTTCTATGACGTTAATAAAAGCAGTATGGTCTATGAAAGATGGAACCAGGTTTCAACACTGTTTCATCCGATCTTTAAAGTTGATTGTTTATTCCCAGTAAGTCACAGGGATAAATTATAAAGTATAAAGATGACTGGTGGTTCCCATCCCATGCAACCACCGTCAAATTTTTATTTAACCAACCAAAAAAGAGAAGCTTCTGCAGTTGTCACATTCATGTTTTCAATTTCACAGTGAATTAAAGTGAGTAGGAAATGATCTTTTAGTTAGCAACATCTATCATATTGCCTTTACCAAAATTCCCATTATGTTTCTATCGCATTTATCGGTATTGGCATCTGGTGGTTTCTTTCCCGTTCATCATTGGACCAAATGAAGTTATATATGCTTGTCAGCAGCCAAATCAGATTAATTCCAGAAGGCCCACATGCAGATCTAATCTGTTCTTGGCTTTAGGAATAAATTCTCCAGACAAGTATTTTCATGTTCATAAACCACTTGAATTAATCTTGGTCTCAGAAAAAGTTTCAAAATTTCTTTTTACATGTAAAAAAAGGAACTTGAAGAAGCATCTTCACAAGTTGAGGAATGGAGTAAGAGCAACCTTGTCCTCGAGCTGAAGGCTGAATGAAAATGTGCATATGAGACAAAACCCACAAACATAATACAAACAAGAACGGGACCTTATTAACTGGCCAGAAACTTTTATGCACAAAGGAGTAGTAATACATGGTCAACAGCATTTTTGTAAATTAATGAGGGAATCCAACTGTACCCTGCAGGTGAATGGTTGTTCTTTGATGGAGTAGTACTGTTATGCTCGTGCGTTTGTTTGAAGAGGTCCATTGCAGCGCTCGATTGATTCTCTAGCTTCTTCCCGGAGCCACGGTACATTTTTACTGCTGTGGTAAAATACATTGCGTTATTGTTTTCTCTTGCCAAACTTGAAACCATTTTTATGAAACCAAGCATTCATCTTTGCAAACAATGGAAGAAACATCACGACTTAAGCACCATAAAAAGAGAGTTGAGCATAATAACCTTGTGAATAAGGGATCATATTTGGTTGAAAAATATTTGTTTTGTTAGCTCAGTATACGTTAAAAAGAAGAAGAAGAAGAAGTTGCATTGTTATTTCAATTATTTTTTTTAATCTTTTCAATCATTTTTTTTTGTTTACTGGTATTACATCACAAAAAGTGTTACAATATATTCTAAAAAATTTGTTTAACATAATCCTCTATCCAAACACAAATTCCACTTGCTCTTCTCCTTGTAAGCTCTAAAGTATATTATAAGGCAAAAAGGAAAGGGAAAAGAGTTAGGACCGCATAAAACGTCTTGGCGTGCACTCATTTGTCATCTAACTATGTAAGCAGAAAAAAAAAAAACCCTTAAAAATGTCAAAGAAAATCATCAGAAAGGAACTTGATTAGTAGTTAAATAGTACTGCCTACTTACTGATCAAGGATGGTGAAGTAATATGTAGCATATAATATGATCACCTTTAGATATAAGAGTACTCGTTCCCGTAACGCAAGGGAGGATTGCTTATGCTAAAAGTTAAAGAATGATGTTGATATATGGCCATATATATATATATATATATATATATATATATATATATATATATATATATATATTGATGTGGGAAACAGATAAAGGGAGAATTCCCAAGGCTGCGACAGCCAACGAGTATGCTTCTGTGGTTACCGTCTGGTGGGGTTCATTTCTTACATCAATTGCTATCTACCGTTTGGCTGGTCTCTTAAAAGCTTTTGATTCACTTAGAATATCCCAGGTATATATAAAACCCTATTCATATATCCAGAAGGATCCCCAAAATAAGAAAAAAAAAAAAGAGACTAATCTGTATGTGATTGTTGCTAATCTATTTTGATCTAAGAAACCCCCACCCACAACAAGGTCCAAGGATTATTTTCCTAGGAAATGTTTACGTACATAGACTCGTGTGGCTGCAAGGAAATCTAGGCAATTATGCTTGCTTAAATTCCATTTTCTGTATACTAAAATCAAGAAACAGGAATAAATGCACATAATTAACACAAAGAAATATCAGATCGTGCATCTACTGCATGGTAAGTTCATACAGAAGACATAAATTGTCAAACCCAGAAAAGCCAAGAAAATCTTTTTGCTACACGTTTTAAATGTTGAAAATTTGAGAGTTGAAAAAAGAGAAAAGTAGAAAAAACAGGCTAGATGTTCCCAAAAGATTTTTAGCTCGCCACCATGATCCAATTGTTTGTGCACAAAAGTCTTCTACCGGATTTAATGCATATGCTATCTATCCATTTCATAAGAATTCTCAAATGTTTGATAAATGGCAGTGCAAGTATTTCATGCTTTGTACTATATGACAAACTAATCTCGACCTACCTTACCTTGCATGAGCCATGAGGAGAGTTGGAACAAAATTCAATTTGGACAGTAGTCAGAAAAATGATGCCTGTGGCATTTTAGTATATCACTGATCCCTTGACCTTTAACCTTTAGCCGTTGCGAATTAAAATTGCATGGTCTTGATTACTTTTTGATTCTTCTTTGTCCCAAGTAGTCAAACGCGCAAATGAACAAAGGGATTGAAACAGAAAGGACTATAACGGGTTGAAAACAGATTATATTTATGCAATTCGTAGAATCCAGATGGGGTTCAAAGCTTGAATGATAAATAAATAAAAGTACTTAAACATGACAAGGAAATGAGAACTAATCATGGATGTCATCAATATTGGTACTCAGCAGCCAACAAATCACATGCTTAGACTGCATAGCTAGTTTAGTACTAAATCAGCTTTTGTTAGCCTATACTTATCAATGCTGTTTTTGTCTAATGTAGGAAACAAAATTAGGTGGACCCTTTTTGTTTACGTTTATGGAACAAGCAATAATAATATTCTGAGCGAAAATGGTGTATGCTTGAATTAGCAAGAAAATGTCAAATTGCTGGATACTTAAATTAGAGTGGCCAAAACCAAAACTTGAAGAAACAAAAATGACCGAGGAAAAATGCTCATTTAAGACTGCAGCCCCTATCAACTTCAAATTTGTGTACACACTATACATTGTAGGACTCAGGCAGGGGCGGTGGCGAAGGACCGATGGTGTTGGTGCCCCGGTGGTTGATCAGAATAAATGCTTCTTTGCTGTGTTGAAACAGACCCTACATCAAGCCTGATAGGTCATAGTTATGGTCAATAGCATGAAGACTCGTAATCAGACAGAACGGTTCCTTCTTTTGTTTCTTTACCCCAGCATCCTCATTAGTAATTACTGGTCATAACCACCAACACATCCCACAAGAAGACCATAACTTTCTCTCTGTGTTGTGTGTGAAAGAGAGAGACTCATGGAGAGTGAGGTGTGAGAGTGGAAGAAGAACGGGGCAAAAAGTCCACGTGGTGGCAACTCTTTGATTTATAGTGACCTTTTTTTAGTTTTTTCTTGATACAAGATTTGAGCAGTTAATATTAAATTTTGCAAACTGAACTGTACCTGCTCTTTTCTTTCCAGCCAATTTCCATTTCATTGCTGGCGTTTCTCTAGCATGCCATTGCCAGCGAGCCAGCGAGCCAGCCAGCCCAGCAACAAAAACAACTATTTTTCCCCACCTTTATTCTCTGATTCTCTCTGTTTATCCCCAGTTCTTGGACGCCTCAATTTTCTTGAAATTCTAGACAACCATAGAATTTAGGGCTCGCAACTCACAAACTACCCTAACCTCCCACTTCATTGTGAGAGAAGATTCCAAAAAAAAAAAAAAAGAGAAAGAAAGAAAGAAAAGGGTTGGACTGTTTCAGGCCAAAATGTACTTGGGTTCTTGATTTTCTGCTGCAAGGTTAAGCATTAAAAACTAACAAAGATGCTTCTTTTCAGTCAAGATTGTGATCTCGTTCTTTTTCTTATACTTGAGGACCACTTGCATTGATGGGCATCAGTGTGTATGCAGCACAGAAGCAGAGATCAAGCTGTTTTAGAATTGGATCCAGCAATTATAATGCTGGGGTTATGCTGGGAGCATGAAAAGATTAGGTACATGTTTTCATTGCCTTGCTCTTTTTAGCTCCTTATGTTTGCTAGAGCTTGTGACTGTTGCCTCAGTGACTGAAAAAGAAATCTTGCTTGAATTCAAGAGTAGCATTTCTAGTGACCCGTTTAATAGTTTGAGCTCTTGGGATCCAAGTGGAAGCCCTTGTCAAGATTACAAAGGTGTGTTTTGTAATCCTGCTGGAAATGTGGTGAAGATTGTGCTGTGGAATACTAGTCTTGGTGGTAATCTGTCTCCAGCATTAGCAGGATTAAAATCTTTGAGAATTCTTACTTTCTTTGGGAATAAATTTACTGGCAACATACCTTCTGAATATGGTCAAATTGATACACTTTGGAAGATTAATCTTAGCTCTAATGCTTTATCCGGCTCTATCCCAGAATTTCTTGGGGATTTATCCAATATAAGATTTCTTGATCTGTCGAAAAATGGGTACAGTGGAGATATTCCTTCGGCTCTGTTCAAGAATTGTTACAGAACCAGGTTCGTTTCTTTTTCGCATAATAATCTTTCAGGAGCAATACCAGTATCAATTGGGAACTGCTTAAGTCTGGAGGGGTTAGATTTTTCTTATAACAGTCTGAGTGGTGGATTGCCTTCAGAAATTTGTACTATTCCAGGATTAGCGTACTTATCTTTGAGGGGCAATGTGCTATCAGGAAGTGTTCAAGAGCAGGTTTCTGCATGTGGAAGCTTGGAGGTTTTGGACATCGGTAGCAATTTGTTTACTGGTTTGGCCCCTTTTGGAGCTCTTGCACTTGCAAACATCACAAACTTCAACATTTCCAGTAATGAATTTCAAGGGGAACTCCCTGAGATTGAATCTTGCAGTGAGAGATTCGAGTTTCTTGATGTTTCAGGAAATAACTTGGATGGAAAAATTCCATTAAGCATTACAAAATGCAGTGCTCTTAAGTACTTGGATTTGGGGTTCAACAGACTCACTGGAAGCATACCAGTTGAGATTGCCAATTTGAAGAGACTTTTGGTAATTAGGTTAGCTAATAATTCAATTGATGGGACCATTCCAAAAGAATTTGGGAGTATTGAATGGCTCCAAGCTCTGGATCTGCATAATCTGGGCATCAGTGGTGAGATACCAGATGAGATAACCAACTGCAGATTTCTTCGTGAGCTGTGAGTCCAATTTTTCTATCCAATTCTCTGTCTAAATTATCCATATTGCTTTCACTCTGTGTTTGAATGGACTTTGTAATGTTGCTGCAGGGATGTTTCTGGAAACTCGTTACGGGGCAGCATACCGCAAAACCTCTACAACATGTCATACCTTGTAATTCTTGACCTACGTAGCAACCAGCTTAATGGGAGCATACCATCCACACTTGGAAATTTGTCTAACTTACATTCTTTAGATTTGTCACAAAATATTTTATCAGGACAAATCCCTTCTAGTCTGGGAAATTTGAAAAATTTGACTCACTTCAATGTCTCTTATAATAACCTTTCTGGGGCTATTCCTTTGGTACAAAGCATCCAAGGATTTGGATCTTCAGCCTTTTCAAATAATCCAGGCCTCTGTGGTGCTCCATTGGAGACATCATGTGCACCCAATGGCACCAAAACTGAAACAGGAAAGCCAAAGTTGAGCCCTTCAGCCATTGTTGCTATTGTTGCAGCTGCTGTGATCCTCACAGGTGTCTGTGTGATAACAGTGATGAACATCAAGACTCGCAGGGGGAGACGAGAAGATGAAGCAGTGGTTGTAGTAGAAAGCACTCCACTGGCATCAACAGATTCAAATGTCATAATCGGAAAGTTGGTTCTGTTCAGCAAGGCTTTGCCCTCAAAGTATGAAGATTGGGAGGCTGGTACTAAAGCATTGCTGGATAAGGAGTGTCTAATTGGTGGGGGTTCCATTGGAACAGTGTACAAAACTACTTTTGAGGGTGAGATCTCTATTGCTGTGAAGAAGCTTGAGACCTTGGGAAGAATCAGAAACCAAGATGAGTTTGAGCAAGAAATTGGAAGATTGGGAAATCTTCGACACCCAAATCTTGTTGCTTTCCAAGGTTACTATTGGTCCTCCAGTATGCAGTTAATTTTATCTGAATTTGTTCCAAATGGAAATCTGTATGATAATTTACATGGGCTTAGTTATCCTGGAACCAGCACCGGTGCTGGTAATCCTGAATTAAACTGGTCAAGGAGGTTTCAGATAGCCTTGGGTACTGCCAGAGCCCTAGCCTACCTTCATCATGACTGCAGACCTCCTGTTCTTCATCTCAATGTCAAGTCCACTAACATTCTCCTTGACGACAACTATGAAGCTAAATTGTCCGACTATGGTTTGGGGAAGTTACTTCCTCTGCTGGACAATTTTGGGCTAACCAATTTTCACAATGCAGTTGGTTATGTTGCACCTGAGTTAGCTCAAAGTCTCAGACTAAGTGATAAATGTGATGTTTACAGTTTTGGCGTAATTATGTTAGAATTAGTTACTGGAAAGAAACCTGTGGAAAGCCCGGCAGCAACTGAGGTGGTGATTTTGTGTGAATATGTTAGGGATTTGATAGAAAGGGGTACTGCTTCAGACTGTTTCGATAGAAGTTTGCGTGGTTTTGCAGAAAACGAGCTGATTCAGGTTATGAGATTGGGATTAATTTGTACTTCTGAAGTGCCTACCAGGAGGCCAAGCATGGCTGAGGTAGTTCAGTTTCTTGAGTCCATCAGAAATGGTTTAGGCTTATAGCAAGTCAACAGAAAGAACTGTTGGACAACCATGGCATTCAGAGTACATGTGGGGTGATTAGGAGTTTAACTTTTTCAGTATAAAGATACAAAAGATTCTTTTGTATTCATTTTGTGATTCATCATCATCAATTGTTCCCTGTAATTCTGCAATAAATTCATTCGTTTTTTTATCATCTCTCGATGCAATCAGAGAAGAGTTTGTAGCAACTCATTCTCTTCCATCTGCTTTTAACTCAGCATTTCTATACTGGTACATAAACTGCTTTCCTAGACTCCTAATATCAATACTAACATCTTCTTAAGCCGAGGGTTACCAGCTTCTTCACTGGGATATATGTTTTTATCTCATTGCCCTGTGGATTTAGTTCCAAGAATACGTAGGCAAGGAAGATGCTATTTGCTGCAAAATGCTCCGTTTCTGCATCAAGCTTGAAGATGTCAATTTATAGTGAAGAAATGAAAGCGCTTGGTTGTTTTTATCATATTTGGTCATCCCGTGGACACCAGAATTTCCACTACTTTGAGTGAGAAGGAGATAGTAATTAATCACTTTAACTCAATTGTTGCACAAAATTGATTGCAGAGGAAAGAGAGTGACATAACCAATTCTCTGTCCTAGACAAATGTAAGAGTTCTTCTAAACTTATTATTACTACCAGAAAAAGGTCGTGACTTGCTTTTTGCATCAGCATTAAATGACCTATTTACAATTTCAGATATTTAAGGCAAATAAACTCTTCGATTTTGCAATAGCAGAATGAAGAAACCTACTAAGACACATCAAGGCCTTGTAGACACTCAGCTCATGAGTACATGATACTGTTCAGGCGTGCCAGAAATGTTTTGACTCCGAGTTCCTGCCAGAACTGTTCCTGTCAGCTCATGAGTATCTCCATCTCTGAAATGAACGGAAGACACTTCATCTTTAAACAGCCAGAACTGCAGACAAAACCAGATCATCAAATGCAGCACGGGTCTCCAATTCTAAGTTCCTCCACCAATTGTTCCCAAACAATCTGATATCTTCAAATCATCCCTCAATGATTCCCCTCATCTGGTCTGGTTCTGACGTAGCCTGAAACTCACAGAATTCTACAAGAGGACATCCTCCAAAGAAATTGTAGGGTTTTGATTCTTTAGCTGAATGAGCAAAGCAATATCAACTCAACTACGAGATTTACAGATTTCAGAAACTTTCCTAATACGATCCATGACTACAGGAATATCATTTTCGCTCAGGGTGGTGAAGCATAATCTGAACCAACCAGGTTCAATACAGTGACAGGAAGATCCGGGAGTAACATTAACCTTACCCACACTCAAAAGCTTATCCCAAAGCTCAAGTTCTCCTTTTTCATTATAAGATCTGATTAGCCCACTCATGTCCATCCAACAGTAGAAACCTCCATTACTCTTCATGCACTCAATTCCCAACTGCTTTAGTCCGGTAACAAATGCATTGTACATCCTTTCAAGTCTTTCCCGATTATTCTTCATAAACAAGTGGATGAATTTTGTGTCTGCCAGCATTGAGATAAGCAAACGCTGGCTTGGAGCTGAAATGGATGAAAATCTTGCCAACTTTTTAGCAGCAGCCAAAACATTCTCATTAAAAGTATAAATAACTCCAACCCTAAAGCCTGGAAGAGAGAGATCCTTCGAAAGACCATACACTATATGGACTCTTGTCCGATCAAAATCTTCAGAATCAATTATCTCTGCCAAACTGACAAAATCTTCACTTCCATGAGTGGATCCTGCCAATATTTCATTGGAAATGAGGTGAATATTCTTCTCTGTTGCAAAGTCCAAAAGACTATAAAGTGTCTCTCGATTGAACAAATTGCCCACAGGATTTGAAGGGTTCGAAATTATGATCCCACGAACTTTAAGCCCCCGTTTCCTTGCTTGGTTAAAGGTTCGATCAAGAGCAGTAGTACTCAGACAGAAATTGTCAGCACTGCGGCAAGGTATGGGTATAATTTCGACACCTGTTCGCCATTTTACATCCCTGTCAAGACTGGACCATAACTTATGACATCAGTGCCTGGACAAAAGAAGCTGATGACCAGAGATAAATATTCTGTGAACAGTCAATTAATCTTACTCGGGATAATATGGTGATGGAACAAGAAATGCATTTCCAGGATCAGCTAAGCAGAAACTGAGAATTTCAATTGCAGGGGTTGCACCAGCTGTCAAAACAATTTGTGAAGGGTTGAAGGATACTGATTTGTCCATTACTTGAGACATGAATCCAGCTACTGCCTATAAGACTAGTGAAATCAGCATATACAGCAACAAGATAAAAAGCAAGTCCAAGCACCGTACACATGATTGCAAGTCAGCTAATTGAAGAGACAAATTGGATATCCTAATAGCTGGAAGCTATAAGAGCTACGCCTAGAGCCAAAAGTAAGCTATAAGAGCTACGCCTAGAGCCAAAAAGTCAAACTTTATCCGAGTCCATGTTAATAGTAACCTGTGGACTTATTGCCCGAATAATTACGTTTAAGACTCCAAAAGTGGCAGGGGGAGAGAAAGTGCTACTACAAGAAGCAGAAACATATTCAAAACTATCATCTTTTAACTAAAGTGAGTTAGCAACTAGTGTTCATTAAGCACATCTGTCAATATCATAATTATGCAGACACAGTACTTTGGTTAGGACACTCAGTAATGTCAAAGCCATTATTTACAAGTGACAAGTCACATACAACAAATTGTAGTGACCAAACTTGTAATTCATTGTTTGAAAACCACAATTGATGGGACCATTCCAAAAGAATTTGGGAGTATTGAATGGCTCCAAGCTCTGGATCTGCATAATCTGGGCATCAGTGGTGAGATACCAGATGAGATAACCAACTGCAGATTTCTTCGTGAGCTGTGAGTCCAATTTTTCTATCCAATTCTCTGTCTAAATTATCCATATTGCTTTCACTCTGTGTTTGAATGGACTTTGTAATGTTGCTGCAGGGATGTTTCTGGAAACTCGTTACGGGGCAGCATACCGCAAAACCTCTACAACATGTCATACCTTGTAATTCTTGACCTACGTAGCAACCAGCTTAATGGGAGCATACCATCCACACTTGGAAATTTGTCTAACTTACATTCTTTAGATTTGTCACAAAATATTTTATCAGGACAAATCCCTTCTAGTCTGGGAAATTTGAAAAATTTGACTCACTTCAATGTCTCTTATAATAACCTTTCTGGGGCTATTCCTTTGGTACAAAGCATCCAAGGATTTGGATCTTCAGCCTTTTCAAATAATCCAGGCCTCTGTGGTGCTCCATTGGAGACATCATGTGCACCCAATGGCACCAAAACTGAAACAGGAAAGCCAAAGTTGAGCCCTTCAGCCATTGTTGCTATTGTTGCAGCTGCTGTGATCCTCACAGGTGTCTGTGTGATAACAGTGATGAACATCAAGACTCGCAGGGGGAGACGAGAAGATGAAGCAGTGGTTGTAGTAGAAAGCACTCCACTGGCATCAACAGATTCAAATGTCATAATCGGAAAGTTGGTTCTGTTCAGCAAGGCTTTGCCCTCAAAGTATGAAGATTGGGAGGCTGGTACTAAAGCATTGCTGGATAAGGAGTGTCTAATTGGTGGGGGTTCCATTGGAACAGTGTACAAAACTACTTTTGAGGGTGAGATCTCTATTGCTGTGAAGAAGCTTGAGACCTTGGGAAGAATCAGAAACCAAGATGAGTTTGAGCAAGAAATTGGAAGATTGGGAAATCTTCGACACCCAAATCTTGTTGCTTTCCAAGGTTACTATTGGTCCTCCAGTATGCAGTTAATTTTATCTGAATTTGTTCCAAATGGAAATCTGTATGATAATTTACATGGGCTTAGTTATCCTGGAACCAGCACCGGTGCTGGTAATCCTGAATTAAACTGGTCAAGGAGGTTTCAGATAGCCTTGGGTACTGCCAGAGCCCTAGCCTACCTTCATCATGACTGCAGACCTCCTGTTCTTCATCTCAATGTCAAGTCCACTAACATTCTCCTTGACGACAACTATGAAGCTAAATTGTCCGACTATGGTTTGGGGAAGTTACTTCCTCTGCTGGACAATTTTGGGCTAACCAATTTTCACAATGCAGTTGGTTATGTTGCACCTGAGTTAGCTCAAAGTCTCAGACTAAGTGATAAATGTGATGTTTACAGTTTTGGCGTAATTATGTTAGAATTAGTTACTGGAAAGAAACCTGTGGAAAGCCCGGCAGCAACTGAGGTGGTGATTTTGTGTGAATATGTTAGGGATTTGATAGAAAGGGGTACTGCTTCAGACTGTTTCGATAGAAGTTTGCGTGGTTTTGCAGAAAACGAGCTGATTCAGGTTATGAGATTGGGATTAATTTGTACTTCTGAAGTGCCTACCAGGAGGCCAAGCATGGCTGAGGTAGTTCAGTTTCTTGAGTCCATCAGAAATGGTTTAGGCTTATAGCAAGTCAACAGAAAGAACTGTTGGACAACCATGGCATTCAGAGTACATGTGGGGTGATTAGGAGTTTAACTTTTTCAGTATAAAGATACAAAAGATTCTTTTGTATTCATTTTGTGATTCATCATCATCAATTGTTCCCTGTAATTCTGCAATAAATTCATTCGTTTTTTTATCATCTCTCGATGCAATCAGAGAAGAGTTTGTAGCAACTCATTCTCTTCCATCTGCTTTTAACTCAGCATTTCTATACTGGTACATAAACTGCTTTCCTAGACTCCTAATATCAATACTAACATCTTCTTAAGCCGAGGGTTACCAGCTTCTTCACTGGGATATATGTTTTTATCTCATTGCCCTGTGGATTTAGTTCCAAGAATACGTAGGCAAGGAAGATGCTATTTGCTGCAAAATGCTCCGTTTCTGCATCAAGCTTGAAGATGTCAATTTATAGTGAAGAAATGAAAGCGCTTGGTTGTTTTTATCATATTTGGTCATCCCGTGGACACCAGAATTTCCACTACTTTGAGTGAGAAGGAGATAGTAATTAATCACTTTAACTCAATTGTTGCACAAAATTGATTGCAGAGGAAAGAGAGTGACATAACCAATTCTCTGTCCTAGACAAATGTAAGAGTTCTTCTAAACTTATTATTACTACCAGAAAAAGGTCGTGACTTGCTTTTTGCATCAGCATTAAATGACCTATTTACAATTTCAGATATTTAAGGCAAATAAACTCTTCGATTTTGCAATAGCAGAATGAAGAAACCTACTAAGACACATCAAGGCCTTGTAGACACTCAGCTCATGAGTACATGATACTGTTCAGGCGTGCCAGAAATGTTTTGACTCCGAGTTCCTGCCAGAACTGTTCCTGTCAGCTCATGAGTATCTCCATCTCTGAAATGAACGGAAGACACTTCATCTTTAAACAGCCAGAACTGCAGACAAAACCAGATCATCAAATGCAGCACGGGTCTCCAATTCTAAGTTCCTCCACCAATTGTTCCCAAACAATCTGATATCTTCAAATCATCCCTCAATGATTCCCCTCATCTGGTCTGGTTCTGACGTAGCCTGAAACTCACAGAATTCTACAAGAGGACATCCTCCAAAGAAATTGTAGGGTTTTGATTCTTTAGCTGAATGAGCAAAGCAATATCAACTCAACTACGAGATTTACAGATTTCAGAAACTTTCCTAATACGATCCATGACTACAGGAATATCATTTTCGCTCAGGGTGGTGAAGCATAATCTGAACCAACCAGGTTCAATACAGTGACAGGAAGATCCGGGAGTAACATTAACCTTACCCACACTCAAAAGCTTATCCCAAAGCTCAAGTTCTCCTTTTTCATTATAAGATCTGATTAGCCCACTCATGTCCATCCAACAGTAGAAACCTCCATTACTCTTCATGCACTCAATTCCCAACTGCTTTAGTCCGGTAACAAATGCATTGTACATCCTTTCAAGTCTTTCCCGATTATTCTTCATAAACAAGTGGATGAATTTTGTGTCTGCCAGCATTGAGATAAGCAAACGCTGGCTTGGAGCTGAAATGGATGAAAATCTTGCCAACTTTTTAGCAGCAGCCAAAACATTCTCATTAAAAGTATAAATAACTCCAACCCTAAAGCCTGGAAGAGAGAGATCCTTCGAAAGACCATACACTATATGGACTCTTGTCCGATCAAAATCTTCAGAATCAATTATCTCTGCCAAACTGACAAAATCTTCACTTCCATGAGTGGATCCTGCCAATATTTCATTGGAAATGAGGTGAATATTCTTCTCTGTTGCAAAGTCCAAAAGACTATAAAGTGTCTCTCGATTGAACAAATTGCCCACAGGATTTGAAGGGTTCGAAATTATGATCCCACGAACTTTAAGCCCCCGTTTCCTTGCTTGGTTAAAGGTTCGATCAAGAGCAGTAGTACTCAGACAGAAATTGTCAGCACTGCGGCAAGGTATGGGTATAATTTCGACACCTGTTCGCCATTTTACATCCCTGTCAAGACTGGACCATAACTTATGACATCAGTGCCTGGACAAAAGAAGCTGATGACCAGAGATAAATATTCTGTGAACAGTCAATTAATCTTACTCGGGATAATATGGTGATGGAACAAGAAATGCATTTCCAGGATCAGCTAAGCAGAAACTGAGAATTTCAATTGCAGGGGTTGCACCAGCTGTCAAAACAATTTGTGAAGGGTTGAAGGATACTGATTTGTCCATTACTTGAGACATGAATCCAGCTACTGCCTATAAGACTAGTGAAATCAGCATATACAGCAACAAGATAAAAAGCAAGTCCAAGCACCGTACACATGATTGCAAGTCAGCTAATTGAAGAGACAAATTGGATATCCTAATAGCTGGAAGCTATAAGAGCTACGCCTAGAGCCAAAAGTAAGCTATAAGAGCTACGCCTAGAGCCAAAAAGTCAAACTTTATCCGAGTCCATGTTAATAGTAACCTGTGGACTTATTGCCCGAATAATTACGTTTAAGACTCCAAAAGTGGCAGGGGGAGAGAAAGTGCTACTACAAGAAGCAGAAACATATTCAAAACTATCATCTTTTAACTAAAGTGAGTTAGCAACTAGTGTTCATTAAGCACATCTGTCAATATCATAATTATGCAGACACAGTACTTTGGTTAGGACACACAGTAATGTCAAAGCCATTATTTACAAGTGACAAATCACATACAACAAATTGTAGTGACCAAACTTGTAATTCATTGTTTGAAAACCACAAATTTGATTACCAAAAAACATGAAACAGTAATCATTTTCTAGATTTTTGAACAAACAAGTTTTCTTTAATTGAAAGAAATGCAAATTCAGTTCATATTCGGCAAAAGCTGCTAAGATAACTTGAGATCTCTCAGCCACACACACTAGGCTAAGAAAAAGTTCTACACTGCAGAAAACAACTCAACAAATATGATTTCCATCATATTACTAAGAAGATAAAGCCATAAATAATTATAGACCGGATAAGAAAGAGTTTAATATTAACTGCTCCAAAGAACTGTCAACAGAAAAGCCCAGAATCACCAGAAATGAAAGCATCCACTTATCAAGATTATCTGTTCAATAAATCAAGGAAATTGTAGATTGAGACTTTAGGCAGGCAAAAGCAAGCCCTGAGTCTTGAATACGTTCGGAATTTTTTAATCTAGTTTTTCATTTTCTTGCCTGTACTCTACTACCAATGGAACGCATTGCAAATTCCAGTAGTTCAAAGAAGCAGTACAACATACATGACTAATTTGTGCTGTGACATCTGCCAAAGATTGTCTTCATGACACGACTCTGTGCATTGACATAATGATTTACACTCATGCAGGACATATTTGCTTCATTTCGAATGTCTTTCCTTTGTTTTTCTGTCTTTTGTTTAGATAGAATCAGGATATCAACCAGCTTCACACTCAATTTTGTATCACAGGTGGAGATTCTTCACCAAGGTTCTACTCGTTCTAAAGCACTTGCCAAAAGATACTCATATGAATTAAATACACATCTTCCGAAAAAAAAAAAGAATTAAATACACATCGTCAAAGCAGCCATTCAATCGAATTACTTGCCGCATGAGAAGTTTCTACTTCAATTTTAACAGAGTCAATAGCACTTCAGAATGGATATTGCTTCAGAAAAATTAACACATTAGAAGCAGGAAATGCAATAAACTTCAGAAATTCTTATGCAACTCGACAAATATTAACCGTAAAACAGATAGAAGGCATTCATTCGAATTACTTGCTGCATGGGAAGTTTCTCCTTCAATTTTAATAGAGTCAATAGCACTTCAGAACAGATATCGCTTCAGAAAAATTTGCACAGTAGAAGCAGGAAATGCAATAAACTTCAGAGGTTTTTATGCAACTCAACAAGTATTAACTGCACAACAGATAGAAATGAGACGTAATGTCAAAGTACTTGCCACTTTCAACTCCATCAATCCATCAAATGGCTGATAAGTTGCTATTCCACTAATACTCATGTCCTGTCCCAATATTGATTCCTTGGCATTCTCTGCTAGCCATTCTTGAACCAAATCTAGTGACAACTGTTACAATAAACAAAAAAAAAAAAAATCTTACAAGTAATTACACCCCATCCTTAAACTTAAAATCAGCATATAAACAAAAGCGAACACTTAAGTGAAACCTACAAAAATGTACCTAAACTGCAACCTACAAAAATGTACCTAAACTCATATAGGATACAATTCGATTCCAAACTTTCAATTTTGCCAGGGAACCAAAACGTTTGTTCTAATTCAAACATTTCTGACTACATAATAACCACACACAAATAAAAGAATTATACTATTCATTTATGCGTCAAAATAGCCAAATTCACCATGCAATGCTAAATGAAATGAGACAATAATTATAAAAATAGAGTTAAAACCAGAAACAGCTTTACAAGACCAAACACACTGATCCAGCCTTTTAACTAAAAAACTAAGAACATAGAGACACAGCCTTCAATAACTTAACAATGACTATCCAATCAAACTACCTACATTGCAATTAGTAAAAAGCCCAGTAGTTAACATCCCTCATTCTCTATCAGTCTATCTCAGATTCTCAGAGTTTGCATACCCTTTCTCGCTTCTTCCTTCCCAACCTAATCAGATGATTAATTAACAATGCCCAGGTAACAAAGAGACTAAGTTTCAATGACAAAAAATAAATTAATTAAATAAAGGGAAATACCCACTCTATTTTCAGCTAAGCCAAGTTGAATAACACCATCGGGATTACTTGACCCGTCATAAGGGTCCTCTGAGACTCTCTTCAACCCAACATAGTAGGGCCCGTCAGCTTGCTTGGCAATAGAATCGGCCCGTGAAGCCAACAGTGGTGCTGGCCCACTTGACCCTCCTCCTCTGGGAGATAACAAAGAACGAGACTGAACCCTTTGCAAAGGAGAACTTTCCTGCAAATGGGTTCCCGACGGTGACCTCGCCGGAGGCGGCGGCGGAGAGTTCTCGCCGGAGCCACCTTTAGACCTGTTGCGCTTTAAATAGAGCTGGAAAAAATAAAAAAGAGCGCAAGGGATTACAGAGCCTAGAATTAGGCCACCTCGGCCCTGAACTACACCTTGTAAGGGCACAATCACCCTCATCGCCGTCGTGGCTCCGCCGCCAGTGCTGGTGCTGGAAGGAGTGGATTCTTGGTCTTTTTTCATTGCTGAAACATTTTCCAGAAGCGGGCCCTCAGGAAACAATGAATCATGAACTTGGGGTCGTGGAAAATGTCAGCATGGGGGGGGTGGCTGAAGTGAAGGTAGCGGACGACGGATACTACGAAGGAAATGAGCGAAGGAGAAGTTAGAAAAAGAAGAGAGAGTGGCTGAGGAAGGAGGTTTCTCGCTATGATTTAATTTTTGGGATAATTTCAGAAACCTCCCCTGAGGTTTCTGACAGTCTCAAGGACCTCCCCTGAAGTTCCGAAAATCCCTTATACCTCCCCTAAAACTAAGTAGATAGTTTCAGGTACAACCCAATTGATGTGGACAATGAATATAAAATGTGTTTCAGGAGAGAGAAAATAATCAAATTCCACCTCTGCCCTCAAGATTGTCATTAGTGAGGATGTTTATGTTAGGGGCTGCTTGGTTAAAGGGTTTGGGAATCACAAAATGGAATAAATCCCTTATTTGTTGCTTGGGTTAAGCCTATTGGAATGCTATTTTTGGAATCATTCCCGAGTAAATTGGGAGGTTTTGGACAAAACCCTCAACTCATTCCCTCAGACAATATTTATCAAACCAGAGTCTTCTTCTTCATCAGTTTTTCTATCTCTTCTTCTTCAATCAATCGCCACCCATCACCTTCATCGGACATCTTCTTTCTCATTTCAAAGTCCCAAATTCAGGTTCACAAATAGTAGCAATAGCTTTCCAAGATCTGAAAGTCTAAACGAGAAATTAGATCATGTAGTAGATGATTTGCTTGAAAAGGTTGAAGCTTCCAATGTGGAAATTGGAGAAGAGAAGATTTTATTGATTGGGCAAAACATTCCTTAGAACCAAACAATGTCATGAGTGGTGAAGTTCTAGTGAAATTTTTTGATTGTGTTCTGGTAAATCTGAAGGATCTGCTTAAGTTTGAAAACAATTTGATTCTGTCTTTGAAGGAACAAATCTCAACCCTTGAAGTGAATTTACTATTCTTGAAAAACTTTGTCATCTTCACAAATAGGCTATGCAATGGGTATGCGAATATCGGACTGTTTTTTACTTCTATTGAAGATGCTGCAAATAATGGTATTTCGTTCTGGTGTTGGTTGGGATGGAAGAAATAGGGAGTCAAAAGTTGATAGTAATAGAGACAGCGACATTTTAACCCTTCATTCTAAAGCCATAAAGAGCTGGTGTTTTATGGAAAAATAGGTACTCTGTTCTTATAAAGTAGGAAAGTCATAAAGAGCTGGTCTTTTATGAAAAAATATGACTATTGTGAAAGTGACCGCGATTTGGTTTATGAAATTATCCCAAAAAAATAGCAGAATGAATTTGTTTGTTTTGAAAGTTGTATAACGGTCGTTAAACTTCAAATATTCCTTCCTTAAACTTCAAAATCTACAAAATCTCATATTTTGAACCCATTGAATGCCGAAATTAAAATAAAATAAAATAAATTTATTGAATTAAAATAAAAATTTTTCGGAAAAATCATGCCAAAATATGGAAGCATCATACGAAACAATGATGGGAAACTGAGGTACATGACCTTGCATTTGTTAAATGCAAGGTACATGATCTCGCATTGAAGGAAAATGGGTACTCTGTAAGTATAATGGACGAAAGCCATAAAGAGCTGGTCTTTTATTTAACAATGGGTTTAAATTTATTTTATCCGATAAATAAATTTCTAGAAAATTTTCTAGGCAATTTTCTAGGAATTCGTATTTATCGGATGCAAGATACAGTCCAACCAAAAAGCTTGCTAGTTTGATGCAATTTTTGGCGCCTTTTCTCTTAGCCCAAATTAGCAATTCATTTTATTATCAAATTCCAGTTAAGTTACTTAATCCTTTCTATTACTCATTTCACTAATTAATTCATGTTATTATCAGAATATATTACTTCAACAGCAGGGATATTTGTGTCAATTCAACGTTTTTCAAGTCATTTTGGGACCCAACAATCTGACAGGGGAGGTATAAGGGATTTTCGAAACTTCAGGGGAGGTCCTTGAGACTGTCAGAAACCTCAGGGGAGGTTTCTGAAATTATCCCTTAATTTTTGTTAGTATCGCTCCAATTTTTTTGTTAGTAGAAAAATATGTGTGGTTTTAGCAACTTTTGAGGATAAGTCTTAATAGGGTGGAGTGGGGAGTTCGAGTCTTCGATGATATTGCGCGGTTTTTGTTTCGGTTTCTACTTTCGACTTTCGAGGGGGAGGGGATGAAATGAATCTTGTCGTTGGGATCTTTTCGGAGGGCAGGTGAATTGACTAAAATGGCACTCAAGTAAAGTTGGGTGTAGTACAATTTTTCAACTTTCTTGGGGGTGTGTTCGACACAAAACCAAACTCTGCAAATTAAAATCTGAAACTTGAAATCTGTATTTATTAAATTACTAAATTTTTAAACATTAAATTTGATATATTTGAGTGTATATCACATTAACTTATCACTTATTTTTTGATTTAATTTTATCTAAAAAATTCAGCGTCGTTTAATTAATTTAGATGTTATATATTTTTTATCAAACGTATTTGAACATATTAAGATTTAAACGCATTAAATTTAAACATTGAAATAAGGCCTTAATTAATCATTGTCGCTGTAAATTTTATAAGCTTTCTTTCTTTCTTTTTTATATAAATAAGAGCATCAAATTCTAAATTTCTTCAAACCGAAATGTCTCTGCAAATTCTTAAAAAACCAAGCAGAATTTAAAAGCGTCTTATTTGTCAAGGAAAGATAGCCCTCCTGTGCTAAATTGCCCGAGATCATATAGATGTCCTAAAATTGATACCTATTCAAACTTTTTTTTTTTTTTTTTTTGCACTTAATGAGTTTTGAAAACCGTCAAGATAGCAATTCCATTAAATAAAATTCTGTACGGATTATTCTAAATATTTAAGAAAAATGTTTCAAAACTCAAAAATTCATATATAGAAGTTTATTTGTATAAATAAGTAGTTCACAAAATAGCGTAAAAAATATTTTTTTGTAACCATGATTTGCAGTCCAATAATTCACTATACGAGTGTATTTAGGTTCGTGCTACATGCAGTCATCCAGCCAACGTTGTTGGTGATTGTACAACAAAGATTCAAACAAAGCTATGGCTTGAAGCAAATTGGTTTACTTGTAAAATCTGAAGAATTATATTTAGAGAATCAAGTGGATATATATACATATATATATAGAGTAGATACATCAATTTACTTCCTGTATCCGGTAAAGAGTAAAGTGCATGAACTGATATTGCACATCCGACTAGCTAAGGTAACAAATATTTTTCAAATATGGAATGAGTAACGGTACACAAAAAATCAACGCTGTAAATTTATCATGGGCTCAATCATTTCATTGGGAACAAAAGAAAAGGCATTTCAGTCAAGTAATCATTTCATTCTAATGTTTTACTAGCAAGCATTTTCCGTATAAATAAAGGATCAAAATATTCCTCCCTCTAACACGAGAGGCAACTGGCAAGGGCATCATTTGCATGCGATGCCAAAAGTCATTTTTTTTATTGTTTTAATCCATAGTAGCTTTGATTGTGGGAAACTCCAATGTATTTGAAGAAGCTATCCTATCTTATATAAAAGTATTTTCGTTTAAGGCCTGGTTTGAATGGCTCTTTTTTTTAAAAAAAAATTATGTTTTTTGTAAGTATATTATATTTCCCAACTATTACCTTTTTACTTATAACATTTTTCTACAAAAATTCCTAAAAATAAATCCCTCTTAGGTCCTCCTTAGCTGCAAGAAGTTAAAATACCAGCCTGTCCCTTCCCCGCTATTGACAACCACAAAGAACAGAAGTATCCAATCCCATGAACGCCAGTGGAGCAAAAGCTGCATGGCTCGACAACCTCAACCACAACGGGAAGAATCCAGGCCGCCAGGAGCCCGAATGAATGTTGCCTTTTTTTTTTTTCTTTTACCCCTTTTTATTTTCCTCTCGGCAATAACTTTTAGATCTCAATAATAGTTTTTAGGACCGTAGAACACGCTACCAAGTAGCCTTGAATTGAATCTTCCTCTTATTAAGTATCTTTCCAATTTTAATTGAAATGAATAAAAATACTCGACACAAGAATACAATATATATATCTATTTAAAATACTTTTTTGATATAATTTTAAATTAAATTTTTTATCTCACATACATCACATCGTTACAGTGTATTTTTCTGCAAAACCTCCAATATACTTAGAAAAAATCTTGCTTCTTTCCAAGTCCAAAAGTTGCATGATGAAATATTCCAAGTATTTGTAGTTTTACGTTTTATGCACAGAAATTGAGCCTCTGCAGTATTGTCAGCAGTAGCATTAATTCGACAGAAAGAAAGATGAACCTAACTAAATAATTATAAGCCCTATGGGACCATGCAACCCACGAGGACCAGAGCAAATTATTCAAACAAACAAATAAACTCTTTTTATGCAAAAAAATATATCAGGAGATGTTATGAAGTCTTGATAGTAAGTTACAGTCAAGTACAGCTAAAATTCGCTATTTTTAAAAGCTTTTATAAAAAATTTATACTGTAGAAATTTGACGTAGAAAAATAGATCAAGCGATGTCATGAGCATGCAAGCGATGGTGAAGACAAGGTATCACCATTGCCAGATGCCGTCCAATTTGGGATAGGCCTTTCGTTTCTGTTTTTGTTCCTCTTTCTTTTTTTCTTTTTTTTTTTTAAAAAAATTTATTTATTCAAATGTCATATTCCTTGGGCAGCAGCAGTAAAGAGGTTCATTGTGTTAATATTTTGGGGTAGACACTTTTACCTCATAGTGTTCAGAGAATCAGAAGATATGGCTTTTTCCCATGGGCTCCTTGTCCAGATGTTGTCCAATTCGAAGGTTTACTGGGCTTTCCACACTGGGCTTGTTTTACATTTTAAGCCCTCTTCTTCCTCTTGTATGCATGAGAAATAGTAAAAAATCATCAATCAATCAACTAAAATAAAAGAAAATAAAATCCTGCATTTTAGTGTTGAGGTTCTACTACTTGATTCAAATTTTACATGGGAAATATCCAACAATAGGTTTAGCACTCGAAGGCAAAACAACAATAACAAAATTTAACAAACAAATGCATGTACCTTCAAAAAAAGTTAAAATTCATAGACATCTGGATGGTGCTTAAAAAATTCTGCATTCGGAATTGGTCATAAGTGGATTTCTTAGTCATAACGGGCTGGGCTTTAGCCCTCCAACAAACCCCAAAAACAAAAATATTAGGAAGATTGATGTATGGATTCCTTTTTTCTTGTCTTCTTGTGATGCAAATTGTGTAGCTTGATCATCATGAATAAATTGAATTTATTGAAAAGTAAACTCTAGAGGAAAAGGCACAAGTTACATTTGGCAAAAATGCATGTACAATTGGAAACAAATCCATCCTATGAGATAGGGTCCAAATGAGTCGAATCTCAATATAATTTTATGAAACTCGAATTCGATTTTGAGCTCGACGAGGTCAAAATCTTAAGTTCGATTCCAATTCAAGTCGAGATCGAGTTTAAAAAATAAAAAAATTATTTTATTTTTTAAAAATAAATAAAATAAATTTTTTTTAACAAATAATAAAATATTAAAAATATATATGTAATTTTACTATTTAAATAAAAAATTATATATATAATCGAATTCAAGTCAATTTGCGAGTTAACGAATTTAATATTTTTTTACTGAAATTCGACTTAGTCAGTTTGAACTCGACTCGAATTCGAATTCAAACTACTCGTGACCGGCTTGTGAGCGGATCAATTCATTTGCAACTGAGATAGACAGTGCATTTATTTGTAAACTCCAAAAAAAAGTTGTAAATGGCTGGCGTCCTCATAAATGATAAACGATGGGTGATGAAAATTTCGAGCTCATTTTCTCGGTAAAGTTTCGGTCAAAGTCTGGGATCAGAGAGGACAATCTTTCAATCGAGGATGGGCAGGCACGGGTAGTAGTATTGTGCAGGTTATACTACCATATTCCACTATTTATGACGCCAATTTATTACTTTTTTCAGCTGAAAAAAAAAAGTACATTTCCATTTTGTGATATTTCCCATCTTTTGAATTTTATGGGGGCGGGACCCACTACTTGAATTGACCAGACAAGGAAATCAACCGTTAGGGTGGCAATCTCGCGAATGGATGACAAGACAAGGGGTAAAGCTGGACGGGCGCCGAAATTTCCTTCGATTCGGACAGTTTTTGAGCCGCCCGAAACAGAGCTCAAAGTCCGATGGCAAGTTTGCCCCTCTCCTCAAAGACAAACATATTATCCTCTTTCCATCAAATGACGCTTCCGTCCCCAATTCCCCATGTTTTCAAATTTCAAATCAATTCTCTTCAATAATCTCAACTAAAACACACTATTAAACCAACCATTTGTCGGCCAACTACAGGCTACAGCTACACGCCAAAATAAAAAAAAAAGAAGAGAGAGAGAGAGAAGAAATTAATAATTGACTTGAAAAAAATTAAAGGTAATGGCCAATCGTAGACTTTATTTGATACAAATTATATATCAATTTGGCTAACCAATTACTAGCAATAGCATGAATATTCTTAATATTGTTGTTAAATCTTATGTATTAACTCGTTTTTGTAAATGTGTTTTTTTAACGGGTGCTCATTAGATACTTGTTAAGATTTATCTAATTTAATGTGTATATACACATACTAATAATTATTACTTTTTTTTATATTTATATACTTTTCCTATTATGCCTTGTATTTATTTATTTTCCTTAATTAACCTTACATTTCAAAAAATATGACTACTAAAATATATTTTTAACGAGTTGTCTATAAATAGAACCGTTAAACAGATCCTTTATAAATTGAATTGATGACCACGATAAATATAGGTATTTTTTATAGTATCTTTTCAGTAATATATTTGTCATTTTGCACAAAATTTTTCGATGGACTTCATTTTTTCTTCTAAGTTTCAAACAACATTGAATCGTTAAAAGTACAATTATAAAAACAAAACTAAAGGTATAGATTAACAAAAAGACTTTTTCATCTTTCCATGCATTGATTGCATTCCAAAACTATTTTTTTGCAAATCTTGATAACCAACCATACCCTTTGTTTACACCATAATGACCTTGGATTAAACTATTTTTGCATACTAATGACTTACAGCTTGCCTTTCACAAAAATACAAAAGATCAATGCTTATCCATCATAGAATCCAAAAGATGCCGAAGTAATTAAGAAAATATCGCCAACGTAATTCGGGGGCAAATTCGTCATAACGAACACTAAAATGCTAACGTTATCTGCCCGGCCCTTTCCCCCTTACCCGTCCTATTCAAAAATTCGATCCTTCTTATTCCATCTGCCTTTTCTGCCCTCTGCTGCTTTTCTCCATCTATACACACAAAAAATCTGTACCTATACAATACCCTTTTTTCACCGGCGCCGGGGGACTGAGATCATTAGCCGGACTAGAAGAGTTAGCAACTCATTTCAAACAAAATGGACGAAGACATGGAGGAGAGTGAAGTCTACACCTTCACGGCGGTCGAAATCGACCTTGATTACGAGTTCGACGCCGTTCGCTACTTCGACTTTAGCCGAGAGGAGTCGTTAGCTGAGGCTCATGAAGCCGAGCTCTGGTTTGAAACCGCCACTACTTATCCGCCTTCTCGTAAGTCCTTGCATCTTTTTTTTTTTTTTTAAATCCCCAGTTTTTGGAGGAAATTTTATTTTTTGTTAGCATTTAGTTAGTAATTCTTTATTTGAACAGAATAAAAAAGATCAGATTTTACAATCTTAGTGGGAACGCTGGGGCCATGGGAGGGTTTTAGGAAACTTTTTGGTGGTTTATTATGCTATTTCATTGACTTGAGTGATTAGTTATTTTGTCACATTTCTTTGCCAATTTCTTGTTTTCTTTTTATTTTTTGTGGTGCGTGTTTTCGGTTTCGAAATTCCTATCCGGAGCCTGATATTTAGCAATCATCGTTTGCATTGTAGTTAATTCAGTTATTTTAAGCTCTCTCTTTTCCGGATTGATAAAGAATTTCTGGCATTTAATTCGACTTTATTTGTACACACTGGGATGATGCAATGGCAGTGATGAGAGTTGGCATACTGTCCGTGGTAGGGTGACTTTATCATTTTAAATTTAGCATTTTTTTGGGTAAGAAACACGCAATAACGTGTGTTTGGGGTACGTAATTTCGTCGTTGTTGTAGTACAATAATATGCTGTTGCAATGTACAAGATGTTGAATTGCAAATATACTTTGATTTCACACTTGTTGAGAATTTTCATATTGAAACTTGAAACTTTACATCTCTTGCATTCTTTTTCAGCTTTTGTGGCAAGGTTGTTTAATGTGAATGATGGCTTGATGGAAAATGTAAATACATCCCCAAAACCTAAGCACGTGGAGGAAGCAAATATGTTAGAGAGTGATTCCGATAATGAGGTGGATGAAGAGACTTCAGCTGTGGACAAAGGTATAATTTATATCCATAATTTTTACTTGTTTCATTTCACGTAGTTTATCTTTTAGCTGCAACATCCATGAGGACTGGCCGAGCATGTGCCCACCTGTGCTCTGAAAATGTTCATTAGTTGTTTGTTGAACTCAATGAGTATATATAATACCACCTCATCTGACTGATAAAAGTTAACTGCATGAGCATGCAATGCTCCAAGATTTGCTATTTATGCGACTCTGAAGTGGGCGAAATACAAGAGGTACTAGTGTGTGAGACCGTCAATACTAGGTTTTGAGGATGGTTGCATGAAAAATTGCTCAGACTGTTAATAACCATCCATTTTAAACCCTATTATCTTATTAAAAATAAGTTTTGTCTCTAAGAATAAATTTAGAAGACTTTCATGAAGCATATTTGCTCTTAACTTAATGCTCCCTGCTGTTGATGGTTGAACAATTACTTACTTGAAAGGCATCCCAAAAACTTATCGGTTAAATGCAGTTCATGAGGGAGCTTCTTAAGAAAGTTCTCTTCAGGCTGATAATCATCCTAAGGTGACATGGGTTTTCCATTATTATGATTCTTATTTAACAGATGGTGGACAAAAAGAGTTCAACAGTAGAGAGACTTCTGCAATTTTGCAGAATAGCAACCAACAAAGGTTTCAGAACCACCAACAATTGGCTTCAGGTCTTATAGCTTCCTTCTTTCTGGCATTTGTGCTTCAGATTAACTCTTAGGATCTAAAATTTACGCTGATCAGAAAGCTCATTTGAATTTGACTTAATTTTCTAAATAAATGAAGTTTTTGGGTTTCAAACTCTAAATATAGCTGATAAATATTGCCTTCTATGGAATAACATTTTTGAGTAGCAAAAATGTTTAGATCTTAGTCCTCTTCTCATGCTTTCTTAGGTTGAAAATTATGCTTAGGAAACTGTATTCTGTGTAGGGTTAACATTCTATAATCACATGAAGAAAGATAGTTTAAAAGCTAAAACAAAGTCCAGTGTGAAGCCATATCTATCAAGGACTTCAACCCTAATGAAACCAACAGCAAGTCAATTGGCCAAGCAGAATGAACCTCGTCAAATGTGTTCTTCCAGGTATGTATGTATATGAAGAGATTATACTCCTTATTTCCTTGTTTTCCTAGACTATCTTTGTATTGTTAATGCATTTTACACAATGTTCTCTTCTCTCTGATAATGATTAGTATAGACAATGTAGAGTTTCTGGAACTGCTAAGTCACCTGGCTTTTTTGGGCTATTGATATCTTTGTTATACCATCTAGATGTGGGTTCAATTTCGGTATGCTTGAACTGATACTGAGTAATATACATTATTGTTGTCTCAATTTGCTAGAGAAGGAATGTTTACCAATCATATAACTCTTTGACCAGTGTTTGAGTGCACTGCCATTTGAGCAAGCTATTAAAGGTTTCAAGTCCTTATCATCTGACTAATTTCTTTCCTGAATCCTAGGTTTCAGAGGCAGTTGGTTGATAAAAATGAGAAAAGCACAAATAATTCTTTTGGTGTTGAAATTCAGGCTGCCAAGAGACAAAAACTTGAGGGAGGTCACTTGAGCAAGGTACTTTTTTGTTGTTTTGTGTTGATTTTCTTGGTTGCTTTAATCCACATTCAACTCTTGTATATATCAAATGCTTTTTTTACTGTTTCATTGTGATGGCCAATTAGTCACATTTCTTTATTTTTTCTTAGAATGTTGTTAAGAGTATCAGGTAGTCCTTTTGTTGGATATGATGAGCATAAGAAAAGGCCAAGTGAAGAAGAAATGAGACAGAGATATGAGATCATAGCATTTCCATGGTTATTTTTATTTGATGTTTTGATATGCTTATCCTTAGATGTTATTGGCAGCAATTTTTTTTTACTGTTTAAATTTAGTTTGTCTACAGCAGACACGTGCTATGGTTGCATGGATCATCTGCTTTTTGAACGCTGTAAATGAGCTAAAAATGTAAGGATGACAAATTTCCCATCCGGTAAAACAATCTTGGTGTGTTGGAGAGGAGTCTTGCTATTGATTGTTGCAGCCAATGGTCAAGTCTCCAGCATGCTTTTGTCTTTTAGATGACTTTGTCATCTTCATGAATCACTAATATCAAAGATCTGACATTTTTTTTTTTGGAAAGGGACTAATATAATTCTACAATTTCCTTTGTGCTTTTCTATATTCATTTCTTTGTTGAGAAAGATATTATATTATTTCTGTTTTTACAATATACTACTACTGATGTTGTCAACTATGTTAACGCTCATGGGCCACTGCTGTTACTTGATGTAATGATGGCAATGCGACAATATTCAATCATCATTCATTATGGCCATAAGGTGTCTGCTCAAAATTGCAGGATACAATGTTCTTTTAGTGCATCACTGAATGATCAAATCCTTATGGTTATCCTGATATATCATACATTTCTTAAGAACCTTATAAGTTCACCTCATTGACATTGTTGTTTTTTATGTGTTTCAAGTTTTTGTTTTTGCACAAGGATATTAATTTAAAGTGTCTACCTATTCTGATTCTCTGGAACAGGTTATTGACACAAAGCATCAAGTGAACTTTGTCCACAAGGAGCCTAAAAGGGTAAGTCACTTCCACTGGAAGTATGAAAGTCAGCCAATTTATGTACTTGCTTATAATATGGTATTATTGATAATTTTGACCCTTAACTCCTGCACATAAGAGAATTTGGCCATGACAAGGTTAGCCGAGTGTGCTGTCTTAAAGTAATAAGGCCCAGCTGGTTGGCATCTGCAAGTCTTGGTTGGTTTTTTATTTGATTGGAGAAGGCAGTTAGGGAGGGATTGGGGGACTCTTAAAATGGCTTGCATTTGTTTTAACCACTGTGTCTATGTGTGTCAGACGTGACAAACTATTTTCGTAGATTATCTGGAATTGTATAAAAGTTGTAAATTTTGTAGCCATTTGGTGCTTTGATAGCCCAGTGATTAAGAAAACAGTATATATAGGACTTCTCATTGCATCTTTTTCTAAATGAATTTTTGGTACATGTGATGTGCTCTTGGAATGTTCCACAGGATGGGATTGTTGTTGGCAACACCGTGCAGACCAAGTTGAGGATTACTATTCCTCGAGAACCTGATCTTGAAACAACTTACAGGGCTCACAGAACGAGGTATGCTATACACATTGCTGAGTTCTAAGCGGAGATATCTTTTTCTGAAAACATCAACTGATGCTTCTAATACTTGAAATTCAGACCTAAAACTGTTGAAGAACCTCGAAGTTTGACATCAACTGTTCATAGGTTCAAAGCTCTCCCATTGAATAGAAAGGTTACTCAAAACTGTTTTATCAAAATCTTTTACTAACTGCCTCTGGTTGTACATTGCTAAAAGTAAACTATTTGCAGATACTTGAGGCTCCTTCTTTGTTGGCTCCGAAAAGAAGCACCCCTAGAGTGCCAGAGTTTCGTGTAGGTTCTTTAACCATTGCTTTTCGTATTCGTATGTAATGAATTCGGCTCTGTATAAAAACTATTTCTTTTCCACAACTTTTTAGTCTTAAATTCACAGTGTGCAACATAAGTGATATCCACATGAAAACCTCTTGAATATATTTTTGAAAATTATCTGTCACTAAAATGTGTAGGAATTTCACTTGAAGACTTCAGAGAGAGCTATGCAGCACACTGCAATTGCTTCAGTGTCTGCTGCATCTTTCAGTAATTCCAACAAGGTTAGCTATTAGACATATTGGATGTGATGAGATTAGGTTCTTGTAGTGTATGGTATTCTATCTTTGTCAGCTATACCTGTTGTTCTTGACTTAAAATAAAATGAACAAAAGTAAATTGTGATGTTACTCTTTGTAAATTTTTTCCTGCTTTGTGGCATTCTATGATTTTTAATGGTGAGGCTGACCATTTCTGTTTACGGGGCTTACATTTATCGTATGAAAGAAATGTCCCCTTTACTAATATCTGAAATAATAATGCCTTGTTTTCTGATTAATGCAAAACTTATTTCAGGAGGTGGAGAGCAGGAATTCAGCCTCACAACAATGTAGAGATGAATCCAGAAGGTAAATTTAGTGGAAGCTTTAGTGCTTTTTTGTAGTTTACTTTCCAAAATTTCTCTACCACCTTGTGACGTTCACAAATTCTGTCTAGTGTTACTTTTGGTTTCATAGCTGTCCTGGTCTGTGTTTAAATTTTAGATTGTCTGAGAATTTGGGTACCCTTTTTAATGAACGGCAGGCCTTAAGCATTCTTTTTTTTTTGGCTGTGAATGTTACTTTCACTACTTTTGACATTAGTGCAACCCTGGCACTTCATTTTCTAATCTGTCTTGACGTGTTCTTGTTAGTATCCATATCGACATTTTCAGCTCCACATGCGTTCTTTTAATCTTTGGGCTGAAAGCTTAATTACACTAGTAGTTGCAATGAATTTGTTTGTTTTTGACTTGTGATTATTGTCATGCTTACTGTTTCTCCTCTCTCTATCAGATGTAATGTTGTAGATACATCAAAAGAGAGGTCCGAGTTATCTCACAATTTCAAAGCTCTCCCTCTTAATAGGAAGGTCAGATGTAAAACATCTCTTGTAGAACTTATCAAATTGTTCTCTAGGAGTTATTGATGGTTTCTAGTACAGATACTTTCAAGTAAAGGAGACATTGGAGTTTTTAGAAATAGCAAGAGAGAGATCACAGTTCCAATGGTAGAGAGCATACCATATTTCAATTTGTGGTTTGTTTTCCAGTTTGGCAATTCTATTTCCTTCTTATGTTTGTTCGCTCTATCTTACAGGAATTTAATTTCCATACAGAAAAGAGGGTTCAGCATAATCCACCAATTGAACTTTTTAACAAGGTAAGTCCCAAGATATCTACTCCAAGACATGCAGCAGAACTTCTGTTATTCTTCCACATTGACGGACTTCTACACTTCTTTTTTCTATGCCAGCTCTCTCTTACGTCTGAACCCAAATCAAAGATAAAGCTGCCACATCCTGCCAGCCTACCTGCAAAGGTAAGACATTTTATTTTAGAATTGATTTTGTTTGTCTGTGATGAATTCAACTGCTTATGTTTTCTGAATGAGAAATCTTTTTTCCTCTAAGGGTTCAAAAGAAAACAGATGGGATTCTTTTCAGGAAGAACAACAGGTATGCAAGGCTGTTCCATGATTTTATTTTCATTTCTATTCCAATAGGATTCGTAATGATTGTTTGAGAGTTGTTCTCTGTTAATTGCATAGAAAGCTGACAATCATAAATTTTGAAATATTATTATTATTATTTTTATTTAAGGTAAAACATGACATGAAAGAAAAACTACCCTTGAATGGAGGAAAGCAGTTCGGCAGCAACGTGAAGAAAGCTGATGATGGTTTAATCTCTGGCACCAATAGGTTAGTGGCTTTAGGCTTCTGAGTTTCTGAAGGTTATCTGTTGAACTACATATTCTGAATTGAGTTGGTTTAGGAGTTTGGGAGTTCGCTGAGAATAAAGGCCAGAGGTCATAGCTGCATCATTGATGGGCAGCTATTCACCTAAGCTTTCATTCTGATCGAAGTTGGCAAAACCATACAGGATATATGGCAAGTACATTCATTGTCAAAAAATTGAAGATCGTTAGGCAAATACATCCACAGTGAAAATATCGAAGCTTGTTCAGCACAGAGGCCAACTTTGAGGAACCTTGTTTTGGTTCTGCAAATCATTTTTTTGCAAGTCATGCCTGAAGGCAATGATACTACAAGTTAATCATCTCAATATGCTGAATGTTGTTGGACAGTGTACAGAAACCTCATTCCATCTTCTTCAGGTTATACACCATCGAAAGTTTACTGTATCAGAGCTTATAGCTAGACAGAGAAACGGCTCAAGATATTATATTAAATTATTAATATCTGAGCTGCTGCTTGTAATCGACCTTAAGCTAGATGGTTAGTTGATAAAGTGGTAGTTTTTCTATTTGAGAAGAATAATTAGTTGGTCTAACTGTTTCCAGTAGTAAAAATGCTAGAACTTTGCTTCCATTGAATGCACCAGATCTTCATCCCTTCCCAAAATTTCAGCATATCTCTGAGCATGGTGCTATTTAACCAAATATTTTGCTTAATATAATCGTATAAGATGGAAACTCATCTACTTCTCCTCAAAATTGGTATATGGAGTTGCTGCTTTTCTACGGCTGCATGAAATCTGTATGCTAGTAGCAGAATTGTTTATTTCTAGAACTCTCTTACTGGTCATGAGCACGTTGATAATTGCTGCAGCATTCAAATCTGTTCATTTCTACAAACACATGCCGTGAGTTGTAAAGGTACTGAAAGTTTTTCTGCACCATTTTCTGCGACCGAATGGCCTACTTACTGTATTTAAGAAACTGACTTATTGGACCATCTGTAAATTTCATTCTCTTTGCTATCAAAGTCTCCTTAGTTCTCCCCATCAGAACCCTTATTTCCTGAGTTATGCTTTCTTGTGGTAGATACAAGAGATAGAGGGGACTGCTTTGTCCAACGCTTTATGTCACAACTCTTTTTCATGGGTTTTTTCTCCTTTGCAAGCCTTCTCTTTTTTATGGCAATGGCAAGGTCATTTGGGAATAATGTCCGCCAGACAAAAGCATGGAGCAGTGTGGAGACAAACAATATTGACACCAATGCTGATGACATAAAAGAAAGAGTCAAGGCAAGGCCTTTGCTTACTGCTGAAGGGGCTGCCTCTGAATACTTGATGCTTGCTATTGACACTGTTGTCATCGGGAAGGTATAAGACCACCATGCAACAGAAAACCTACAGAATGCAAGATTATTTTTGCTGTTGGAAAAAGTTCTATATTCGGAACGCGAGGAAAAAGAATGTCATATAGCTATCTAAACAATCGTATATCTTGGTGAGGGTGGGAAGATAAATCTGCCTACAGCAATTTAGACAGTCAAACCCTACCTGAATCCCCTGAAGAAGTTGATACGGACAACCAGTGATGAGTAGAGAAATAAAGCAATGAAGTAGCAGGTCCTTGCCAAGCCATCAAATTCGCCATAGACAGCTCCCCAAGCAAGGCTTGCTGCAGCTGGAGTTGCTATAAACATGGAATAGACGGGGTGTAGCTCCTTAGGGAGTGCTTCACTTGTTGGCAATCGCTGATACAATGTTACAAACACCACCAGATAATGAGCAAACCCAATGGACCACAAGAACTTGCCAGCTTCTTTCCATCCCACTTTGGCAGCCAATATTGCTCCAACAAAGTTTCCAACAACTGAGAGATGGGAAGATGGATTTGCCACCTTGCAGAGACGTCGTTTTCCGCCCGAAAGCCATTGACCATAAATTTTGAGATCAAGAAACAGAATTGGGGCCATAAAGACACACCAAATCGCTGGATGAAGAGTTTCTGGTGCTATTCTCGGTGGTGCTCCAATGGCTAAGAACATGCAGACAACCCAAGGTGCAAAAAAGAAATTGACTCTTACTGGATGAAAATACTCTCTCTTGACTGCTTCAAAATACAATGCACATTTGAGTGCATAGGTGACAGAAATTGCAACAAGGACACCTACGGCCAACAGCCACAGCACAAAATTGATGAAAGGTGTAACATGAAGGAATTTGGTAGATGGACTGCTGGAGAGAGCACGCCAAAGAATGGCCTGACTGCTAAGGCCTAAACAGATACCAAAGCAACCAATTGGGAAACGAAGGAGGAATGGCCATTTCTCATCTTTGGGTAACAGTATGTCCTCCGAGTCCTGCAAAATGATTAGGAAGAAATTGACACTTTGGACTCAGCAAGAAGCTGGTAAAGTAATCAGGGATAGTGCTAAAGAAAGCATCATATAATGGAAAACATGCCACTGATCTCCTAGTGTGGCGGTCATCAATTTTCACTCGAAGGTTGGAAATCCAATGGTACCTTGACTTGGTCTAATTCAGGCCCTCTAAGAGCAGCAAAGTATCTTCCTGCGGGAACACTCTCGTTAACAGATTCACCATCATGTTGAAGCCCTTCTCCAGGAGCATCTTGATTTTTCTGAATATGATCAACCCCACTCTCTCTCTGGGGCAATGCTGAATTCTGTCTACTCAGAGCAGATTTAGTTCTGAAGATGTTGAAGTCTGCTTTCCTTCCTTCAACAAAGTGACGAGTTGAGCCATAGTCTCCAAAACTTGTTCCGCTTCTTCTAAGTAATTCACGTTGATCTTTGGTTTTAGACTCTTTACTCAGCACCGAGAAGCCTGTCTCCAGGGAAACTTGTCTGCTAAAATTTCTCCGAGCCCTCTTTCCTTCCCTAGCTTTAACAAGCCTGTGAAATCGGTTCTCTGCATTTTCAACATTGCTGGCTATCTCTTCTTCTCCTTCTGCTTCTTCGTCTTCTTCTTCTGGCAAGATCTCATGGATGTCGACAAAATGAGTTTCCAGGAAACTCGGAGAATTATTTGACTTTGTATCCATTTGTATTTGTGCGTATAAAATTTCGCTTCTTTTGTCAATGGAGGAGCCTAGGTTAATTTAATGCTTGATATGGTTTTCATGCATTACAATTAACTGATTAAAGAGACACAGAAATATTTGTACTTGTATGTAATTTATTAATGTTGGTAGGATCACGAGAATACAGTGTATACCATAGGTGGTTGTTTATTTGGTGCATGAAACGAGAACCAAGGTTTCTTTGAAAAAAGTAAACTGCTTTAAGGGGTTTCTCGTGAGAGAAGAAGAAGAAGAAGCAAAAGTTGTGGTTATTATCAACCATGATTTGAATTTAGGTGCAAAATGCAAGAGGCATCAGTCTGCCATACCATGCTTTGCTGGTAGATGAAGGAGGTTTCCACCTCTAAATTGCTTCACGGGCGCTAAAATAGTGGGCAAGAATGGAAGAAATCTACTGCCTGGAGTCTTCGATTGTTGAATAAAGTTCTGCGGAGTTTGACCATGCTGAAAACCAATCACCAAACTGATCACCGCTGGTCATGCACCACTCAGCATTAGAGAATACCCATTTTTGCGCTTTTAGATAATTATTCTTTGACTAAACTTTTGCAGTATATTCATTTCTTGACTTTCAGTGCTATTTAACAGTGTCGAGAAAAGACTTTTGCATATTTAATCCTTCGCACACATACATAATTTTTTTTTTCAAGGGAAAAAAAGGAAGAAAAGTCTTAAAAATCGAACTAGGAACGTCATCATGACGTGGTTAGTCTTGGGGATGAAACACCCACATTTGCTGCAGCATTTTTTTGTTTAGAAGTTTTATGAGATCCTAATACAGCATGATCAATTTGGAATTAGAATTGTCTCTCCCTTTTAAACGGACGTGGGTTTGTTGCGAAGGCAATGAAGAAAACCTAGGACGATCAAGTCGCAACCTGGGCTGGGAACTATTTCATGTGTGCATCCAGACCTAGACCCAACAAAACTTCAGATCCTTGACATCTTTGTTAATCAGATTTTGACCTTCATTGTTACAGGAAAAGATCACCGTGATAATTTTTATTGTTACAAAGACCAAAAATTTGTTATTTTTCTCAGGTCTATATTCTAGTTTCTCATGGTTATTCATGTTTATTCTTCTTTTTTTTTTCTTTTAATTTTTGGTATAGTCATGAACAATTAGTTGGATGAAAATTACATGTTGAAACAGAGCTAATGTGACACAACACAAATAAACAAACATAAGCACGTAAAAGCAGTTAACTGAAAATAATGATCAGTTTTGTCATTAACACACATTAGGTCATTAATTAATGCCAAAAGAAAGAATCTAGCTAGCAATTTAGCAACTGCTGAAGATCTAATTGCATGCTCTGACATTTTTATCCTGTGCTACCATTTGCTTTGCAAAGAGAGGGAAAGAAGAAAGAAAAACAAAAAAGAAGTTGTCCATCATGCATGGAATACTGGGGCACGGCTCAGCATATATTCTCTCTGAAGCAGACAGGAAACTACAGAAAAATCCACTTCTTGTTGAGATTATTACGCAATACAAACGAGTAGTTTTACTTTAGCCTTTTCCGGTCATAGCAGTGGAAGAAGATTTGCAAGCAATGCCAATTGGAAACTTTTAGTGTTTTTAAAGACCATTTCCAAAACGGGTTTATTGTGTTCCTCCTGAAAATGTGTTTTGCTATTCTCAAATAAGCAAAAGATGGCGATAGTTTTCTTTTACATACATTTCAATGTTACCCAAATAATGACAAAAAGGAAAAAAAATCTAAAATAAGGGCTTTGTATGTGATTACTCTTGCTAGTCCACGAAAGAAGTGGTACATTTGTGGAATGGACAATCACTGTGCATCCGGGATGAAGCTTGCTGTTGATGTTACTACACCTGATTTGGGATCTCCTGCTTCTGCACCTGCTCCCAGTTCCAACCCTCGCTCAGCTGCAGTTAGAAAAATGGCTCCAACATTCTTTGCTTGGATTATTGCTGCATTTGGTGCATTCTTGATGGTGTAATACATACATACACAGGCCCAGAGAGCCAGTACTGCTGAGATAAGAATATGCTTTTGCATTTTTTTTCATTATTTTCAAGTCAAATTCTTATTGTATTTTACTTTTCTGCGTTTCATATACATGACATAGAAATGATATATATAATTATGTTATGCACTGTTTCCTCTAGCGAGATTGTCTTAATCTTGCATTTTTTTAAAACTTGGCCTAACGTACTTGACCAATTAAAAGATATGTATTCTCGAGTTAGATCTAGATAGGGTGTGTAAACAAACTTAGTCAAGCCAAATCTTTAGTGTTAAAATTTGTTTGATTATTTTATCAAATTTAAAATTGTGTTTAATTTCATTTGTTTATCTATTGAGTCGAACTCAAATAAACATTTATCAAGGCGAGTTTGAGTAACTTAAGTTTTTACCTATACATTTTTATTTTATCAGTAATCAAGTTAAGTTTAAGCCGAGCTTACAAATTTATGGAATGCAAAATACTATTAAAACTTGATTGGATTAGTTAACTAATTAAGTTCGAATATGCTCTTGTTGAGCCAAACTCTCTTTGAGTATCGAGTAATTTGATTGATCTTTTAGCCTTAGATCTAGATGGTGTGACCAGACTGACTTGGAAATGTGTTTGGCATGAATATGTATATTGGTGAAAATGAGATAAAAAGAAAAATATTTCCTCTATGTGTACGTCTTGGACCTTTCCCTTTGTAATTTTGGAGATAGTACTGAAGTTTGATGGAATTATTAATTGGGATCATGCAGGCTACTACACTAAAATTGTCGGACTCTAACAAACTTCTTTTCAAGGATGGAGAATGGATATCTACACTGCTTCTTGGCCAGCAACCAGCATCAATACAACAGGTTAGGGAACCGCGGAACAGCAGTGACCGTTGCCAGATCAACCATCCCTGACCAGTATAACAT